CCGTGCCAGCTAGGTGCCAGCTGAGCTGGCACCGACCTTTGCTCACATAAATTTTCATGCTTGTTTACGTAACTTGTATCTTCGTTGTAAATGTTGTCATACAGAGAAAAAATGGCTTCATACATCCCCTCCAGGCTTTTTTTACATCCAAGAAAGATCTTCATTGACGCTCTGCTCCGGTCGGGCGCGCCCCGAAGTAAACCGACGCGCGAATCCTTCTTTTTCGCTAAGCGCTCGGCGTCTTTTACCTTTATCTTCGTTATTTTCTCTGTCTTTTTTCGTAGTCTTCTATTCATTTGTCTCATTCCCGTAAGGGGTTGGGAAGGGCGGGGTGGAGGCGTAGGGGGAAGGGATATGGAGTTTGAGAGAGAGGATCCATAGGCTTTTTTCGTTTTTCTGTTAGCTTTTTGGCCCTTCTTCCGCGTCGGGCCGCAGTCCCACCCAGGATGAAGGACAAAAACCCGAGTGTTGAGGAATAAGGGGACCGTAGGAAATTTCCGAAAGCAAAGGGGATTTTGTTTTAGGATCTTTCTGGTGCCAGCTCGTGCCGAGCCCTGCTATCTAGTCATGACTTAAGGAAAAGCAAGCCTGAGTCTAACATTTTGGGGTAAGGCATTTGAGCAGTAATAATTTGTAACAATTTATGCACATACAAACATGATGATATCACAAGTTAACCGGAAAAGTAGTGAAACACCCGTAAAAACAAGTACCCAGGGAACTATTGATATTGCATCTTGAAATCTCAGTAGATTTTGTACACATGTTTCATCTCACTAGGGCGCCACTGTCCATTTTTCTTGACGTTGAAATGTGATGAGCTCCAAGAAAACCTACTCGTTGGATGATCTTTGTACCATTTGGGTCCATACTCCGTCTAAAAAAATAGAATATATTAATGGTTTTGATGCTTTGAAGTTATTGATCGTAACAGCTTCAGAAATTGGGAAGGGTATGTATCTACGTACATAAGCAGGAAGGACAACCCTGAGTTTCGCCAAAAAATCTACTTTCATTCTTGCTGAAAATCTGTGCTCAAATCTTTAACAAAGGTCCTGACGATCATTGGTCGGGCGGACTTTTGCATATAGTGTACATATTGCATTTGTACATATCGTCATCTTATATTTCGCAAAAAAACGCAAAACGTTGTAGGTGCAATGAAGCCATAAAAGGCGCTCTTACTCTCAAGCACTATAGGACAAACTTCAAATCCGCCATGAACAAGGCAATTTTCCTGAAATTCAATGGAGTTGCTCAAAAACATATAGCCTACCGTAATGATCGCTTCAGGATCACACGGCAACCAGAAGATGTTATTGAGCAAATCGCCTGCACATATGTCGTTATCAGTAATTCTAAATAATATTACAGTTTTTGAGGAGGCAAGTTTTAAACTAACCTGGGATAGGTGTATTTGTATTTTGCGCCAGTTCTACCAGTTCCTCCCACCCAAGATTCATTTTCTGCGCTGTACATCCAGAAGAGATCAATTACTGGTCGACTGTTATCTGCCGGTCGCAGTGTAAATTCGTAAGAATCGTTTACCTATAAATCTTCATCTAAATGCTGTAAACAAAACTGCGTAAAAAACAAAGCGTACCTTCCCGAACTTTCGCTTTAGTTTGAATTTCGATTTACCGCTCTGCAGATGTTCAAGAAAATCTGGATTATAATCTTCGATGAACGCAGCGAAGTCTATATCGTTTGTATGTGGAATGATACCACACTCACGATACCATCCTGTAAAGATTGTTGTAAACAATGTGAACAAGAAGAATTACAGACGGTTTCATGCCATAGTATAAGCAACAATGGCCACTCGTTAGAGTAACTCTAGGAATGTAAAATGCGGTGATTTGATAGGAAAATCAGAAGGTGTAGAGAAAAACAGGGTCACGATCAAAGATTTCAATGGAAAAGCGAGATACAAAGGGAAACGTCGGTAGAATTATCGAGCGTTACATCAGTTTTGACTGAACAGATGAAAATTGTTAGGCTTTGATTGAACAGATGAGAGAAACTTCCGAGTTACGTTGATGTTCCTGCTTCACTAATTTCTGATTTGTATCGCAAAAAACATTTCAAGTGAAAATTATCGCTTTTCGTATGAGTTTGGAGACAATAAACATTCAAATTTGATTTGTAATCGAACATATGACGAGGGAGACTCTTTCTCTTTTAATTAGCAGAAGTATACTAAGTAAAGAAGGCTTCCAAGTAGCTTTCGAGTTTTGTATATTTATCTACGATCGGTCTGATTATCACGCCACCCGTATCAGTTCTAGTAAAATCTGGTCAAATTTTTATAATCTGCAAAATTTTTGCCACTAATAGAAATCGTTCTTTGTTTTTGGAAACAGTGCAAATGTACACAAAGTATACAAATAAAGATGAAGATGAAAGATTTGGCGTCTTCAATATTCTTGCGGGTGGCACTGAACACATTCTTCATAGTCGAAAAGCTACTACGTGCTCTTGTTATAGATGTGGCACTCGCAAATTGTACAGGCAGCACAGAAACAAAAAGTAGCTGATTGTCCGTACTGTCTGTTTAGCACAATGAGAAAAATATTGCTGATTGAACATTGAGTGAGTTGCGATATATTTACTTAGTTGGGCAACAAACAAAAAGCCTTAGAAGGTCTAGTAGGATTTAGAATCAACTCACCCAAGAGTGTTCCGCCGTTGAAAAAAGGATAGATGTCGAATGTAATTAACAATCGTACGAGTGCAGACATTGCTTGTACTGTTTTCTCTACGGGAAGATACGAAGTCATTGGTTTTCGTTCGATCTTCATATTGATGCAGCCTACTAGTTTAGATCGTTTCCAATACTCGAAGAAATGGTTTATGTCGACGGGTATAGTAAAGTTTCCATGACTGATGAAGTCGTCTCTGCAAAAGCATATGAGTGTTTGATTGGAAAACTATGGATCGCTATTGTAAAAATTGCTGTGTGCGACTCTTCTTTGGTTTGCTGGCTTACTTTGTCTTTACTCATGAAAATAGAGCAATATTAAGTTAATCTTAAGTAATACGGGTAATACAGTCTTCTCACTTGGTCAATTTATGTCACCTTTCTTAGAACTTGGAATACGTTAAGTGCTGTTTGCAATGGTTAGGCAGCTAAATAATAGTCTCGGCCATTATTATTAGGTAAAGTGGATATCAAAATGCATGAGAACAACAAGAGATGTTATTCAGAACGACTACGAGGTTTCCTCGTATCATAATTCGCATGTAGTTAAAGCCAAAATTCAAGCTCATCAAGTGACCCAGTGATTGTATCGCCAGAAAGATTCTACAAACTTCCTGCGTGGACAGCATTTAATATGCTCAGATGAACATTCATCACATTTACAGTATTTCTTTATGCCTCTATATAAAAAAAAGCCAGCTTGAAAACACAATCGCGATCTGGTACATATGTGATTGTATTCTACAAACTAAAGCAGCATGAAAATCTCACATCTGTACGCGACCCACTCATTAAAAAGTAATTCGTATTTGTATTCGTATTCCTAGCCTTTTTTGTTTCGTGACCCAGCGTCGAGAAAATTTCAACAACTGCACATGCGTT